TTAAACAGTTAAACAGTTAAACAGTGATGGACCTGTGGGTACTGGGCAGGGAGTTGGACTTGCTTTTGGGTGGGGAAAACCTGGAAACTTTCAGATTTGGGTTTTCCCAGATGTGCCAATAGGACATCTCTAATAAAACAGAACCTTGAGGAATCTCAAGTCTCGGAGTCTTCTTTTGTTTAGGGGTGTTCCTTGGAACCCTGACGTTAACCCAAATCTTCTTTAGAAAGAACTCCGGGGTGCTGTCTGAAGTCCTGAGCCCCAGCTTTGACCCAATCCCAGGTGGCGCAAAGACTCAGGGAAGATGGAGGAAGAAAAGTGACAAAGGAGGACCAGATCTGACATAAATAAGAGGGAAAACCCACATGGTGTTCACGCTAACAACATCCCTGCAAAACCAACTCCTGTATTTCTTCAAATCGCAAGCAAATGATCCTATTGATCAAACAATATCCTCTCGTTTCCCAAAATGTAATGTACTTCCGGGGGGGGGGGGGAAGAGGAGAATGGTGTCCTGACCTAGGCTTCCCCCGCAGCACGAAGCCGAGTCCTCGTCCCGATAAACCCCTTTTACTGAATTGACCGTGAATTCCTCTCCAGCAAAGTCTTTCCTCTCCCACAGTCTTTCAAGAGATTTCCCAATTACTGACCTTTATCAGGCTTGGAGAGTGCCCAGGCTGATATCATTCAGATGCAGAATACAGGAATGAACTAATGGTCTCCTGCAAACTCCACTCCCCTTTCGCTCCTCTTTTATTCCCAATGGGAGGGGCCATTCACCATCCACCTGTGGCCTTACTCCCAAGTCGACCCTTGTTCCTTAGCTGTTCCCTTTGTCTATCAACTCTGCGCTTGCATACTCTGGGAACAGGCTCCAGCTGTTCTTCTGCCTCACTGATGTCTGACCCCGAAGGCAGCTGATAACTGCCAGATGGCGCTGACCCCATCCCTGCCTCTGACACAGAGCCCTCGTCAGAACCTTCCCCAGATTCCAGGACTGGCCCATGTTCCTCCCCAACCTCCTCACTGTCTGACTTGTCTGCCAGCTCTGCTGGCTGCTGGCAAGCCATAACAAATGGCTGGATTTCCCCTCCCAAGGATGTAGGAATCTCCTGACAGAGAAGAAGATCAACAAATGTCCACCTTAAACTTCCCAAGACATGGGGCAGTTGAAATATGCATCTTCTCCAGCTTCCAAGATTTTGTAACTTAACCCATTATTATTTTTTTGCTTAAATAAACCTAGTTAATAAGACTAGTGTGAATCTAAGCTTCTGGTGTTGAACAGCTGCTAGAGGGTTGCTTCCTTGAGGAAGGAATCATTTCCTGTTCTCCTTTGAACATTCGTTCCCAGAGGACAACATTCAAATTTATTTTATCAGAGCTTTCAAGCTTGCGTTTTATTCCCTGGAAGATTGCGGGAGGGTGTGTGTATTTTTCTTCTTCTTCATTGCTCTCTGAGCAAGCCCACTCTCTCACCACCCCATCCTCCCACCGCCCCTATTTTGGAAAAGGGGTTCATGAGGCTAGCTCCCCCAACCCACCCTGTGGCTGAACTGGGAGATTTGGTAGCCAAGAAAGCTGCAGAATATGAGACAGAAGGTTGTGTGAGGGTCAGACAGGACATCCGTACTTACTCAGCAATTTCCATCCTTTTAAAAACAAACACACACAAAGACAATTTTTCTCAATAGCAAATTCTTTTCCATCAGATCAAAGGAAAAGAGCCAGAGGGGAGAAAGAAGAAGGGGGGAGAAAAATACAGAAAGCCATTTTGCTGTGATTCTAGGACTAAGTCACGGGGGGAATGTTTGGCATTCATAAGAAGGAGAAGAAGGCAAAAAAAAAAAAAAAAAGAGGAAATTGTCCTGCTTTTGAAATGGAGCAAAAAGGCGATAACTATCTATTTCACCCAAAGGCAGAGTTGATTAATGAGCACAAGGCGGAGGAAATACAGATTATTTCCCCCCTCCCTCCCCAAAATAAATAACGGAAGGAGTCACCCGGAGGCAATCCGGATGCTCATTAGCACTAGGCAAGAATAGTGGGAAATTGCTGAGAAGGTTAAACCGCAGGGCAAGGAATCATCAGGTAGAGCTTCTGGATATAGATTTGCTTCTAACCATCTTCTCCAACCCAGCGCGGGAGCCACTAGAGCTGGGGGAAGAAAGGAATGAGTTTAGGAAAGCAAGAGAAAAGGATATGCCAAAGGGGCTACCACAGAGAGGAGGAGGTCAAGCTATTTTCCAAAGCACCTGAAGGCCAGACAAGGAACAATGGATGAAAACTGATCAAGGAGAGATTCAACCTGGAAATAAGGAGGGATTTCCTGACAGTGAACTCCACCAACCCATGGAACAGAAGTTGCCTTCAGAAGTTGTGGGAGCTTCATCACTGGAAGCTTTAAAGAAGAGACTAGACTTCTATCTGTCATTAATGGTGTAGGGTCTCCTGCTTGAATGGGAGGGTTGGACTAGATGACCTATAAGGTCCCTTCCAACTCTGTTAATCTGAATCTGAATGCTTTTTGGAAAAAAAATTGCAAAAGGCAACTGGATTTTCTTTTCCCTGGAAGATGGTTTTTTAGGATTCATTGTCTCTGGAGTTTCTCAATCATCCAGGTCATGGTTCTCCGATCCAAAGGTGCTTTTTCAAGAGGCAACTGGACTTTTCTTTGTTTTTTTTTGAAGGCATTTCCCCTCCCACCCGAGAAGCTTCTTCAGCTCTGAATGAAGAAGTCCCAACCAAAGGAGCTTCTTGGAGGAGAAGGGAAATGTCTTCAAGGAAAAACCAGAAAGTCCAGTTGCCTTGAAGAGGTTTCACTTCTCATCCAAGAATCTTCTTCAGTTCTGACTGACTTCCATCCTGCACCAGAACTGAAGAAGCTTCTTGCATGAGAAGTGAAACCTCTTCAAGGAAAAACCAGAAGGCCCAGCTGCCTCTTGAAAAAAGCACCTTTGGGACTGAATGCCTGTGGAGATCCAGGTCACGGTTATCCCAAAGGTGCCTTTTCAAGAGGCAACAGGACTTTCTGCTTTTTTTCTTGAAGAGGTTTCACTTCTCATCCAAGAATCTTCTTCAGTTCTGGTGCAGGAGGGAAGCCAGCCAGAGCTGAAGAAGCTTCTTGGGTGAGAAGTGAAACCTCTTCAAGGAAAAACAAGAAAACCCAGTTGCCTCTTGAAAAAAGCATATTTGGGACAAGCCTGATGTCAGGCCTGCAATTATATTCCTTTTAGAATTTTGGCCTGCCATACTTTCTTTTATTTCATTATGCTGTTTCTTTAGTTAGTTGATGGGAGGGGGGAATAGACAGGAGTAGGATTGTGGAATGTATTGTTTTCATTCTTTACTAGAAGCTCAAGGTCATCTTTTGTCTCCGTACTTTTACATCTGACCAGAAGCAGCTGGGTGNGATAGATAGATAGATAGATAGATAGATAGATAGATAGATAGATAGATAGATAGATAGATAGATAGATAGATAATGATGAAGATAGATACAGAGGTAGATAGATAGATACAGAGATAGAGGCAAAGACAGAGAAGGAGAGAGTGAGAAGGAAGAAGGGAGGGCTGGCTTGGTCTGCAGCTACCACCACAGACATATATGTCTTCCTTCCTGCTTCCAATAAAGCATCTTAAACAGCTTTGTCGTTTCTGCGAAGCTCCTGCTATAAACAAGTTGCCTTACAGGCTCGAGCGTCTGATGCACTGAGAATTATCATCATCGCTTCCTTTGGATTCCCACAAATGGTCCTCGGGGGTATTCTAGGATCCCACCGGTGCTGAGCAAACGGCCAATGATTTCCAAATGGGTTACTTTTGTGCTTAATTTTAAGGCGTCCTTGCAAGTCTCGTCTCTGAGATCAGCTGAGTCTCTTGAGTTGAGGCTGCTGGAGCGGCTCTGGGATGGGACCGAGACAGGAAAACACTCTCATTCATGAACAATACATGCTCTCGGGGAGCGTCTTCCACTTTTTACTGCTGTCAAGAGAAATTTTTCTTCCTGCATTATTCTCCTGGCAGCTTTCCCCCCCTGCATCAGGCGTCCTCGCTCGCTCTCCCTTCCATGCCTGCGCATATTTTAAAGCGGAGCATCGTAAAAAGAAGGAGCGCGGAGGGGGAAAAAAGCACAGGATGAATAATTTACCAGCGGACCCGGGCGAAATTAAAAATATATTTCATGGTTCCAAAGGTCGGCATGATTTGGAAAGGCCAGGGACAAGCCAGCCCAGGTGGTGGGAAGGAATGAAAAGAGAGATAAACAAAACCCAAGTTATGACTCGCTATCTCAACGCTCTCCCCTCTGCCCCTTTGTTCAAAACGGTGCCTCGTTTTGTGGATTTAACTCACAGTTAAAGAAGGTACATCGTCACAATCTTAATAAGTAAAACTGTGAATAGAGTTCTGGAATTGCCAGACCCTGAAACACAAAAGGGATCCCTTGTTCCTCATTTATTTGCTGAACTAAAGCAACTTTTTTGGGGGGGATCCTTGGAGCTCTCTGAGCTTGGTTGTTTTCTTGTAGACATCTCATGACCCATTTGGGGAACATTATCAGTGTTAGGGGAGGTTGGGAGAAGGAGGAGGAGGAAGAAGAAGAAAAATTAGAATTAGAAGAAGAGGAGGGTTAGAGGAGAAGAAGAAGAAAGAAGAGGTGGAGGAGGAGGAAGAAGAATTAGAACAAGAAAAGGAGGAGGAGGAAGAGAAAGAAG